CGTACAGTTTTCCAGGGTCGGAGTCGTTGACGATGATTTATGCTTCAATTTTAAATCAACATTTTGGGAATTTCGAATATCGAATCCCACAAGTCGCCTCCAAACTAGCTGATAACGTAATCGAAGCTACCATTTGGTTACACAACAAAGTTAATTCAGTTTTCCTACCAACCGCCACTAAGTTTCATTACATATTCAATTTGAGAGATTTATCAAATGTTTTTCAAGTATTTACATGTTTTGAATCAAAAACTCTTTTTTTTTTTTACAAATCACGTAAGGATGAGGTATGATATTTTTTCAAATAATGTTTTTTAGGGTCTGCTGTTCAGTACTGGAGAATGTTTGAACTGCACTGCAGATCTAATGCGACTGTGGATGCACGAATGCCAAAGAGTATACTCAGATAAACTAGTTGATGACAAAGATTCAGATGCTTTTACTAAAATACAGACTGATGCATTGAAAAAATTCTTTGATGTAAGTGTTCACAATTATGCTCATACAAATAACAATTGAATACATTTTATATTAAAAGTACAACATTTAAACATGGTCATTGGCCATTGTCATGTCAAAATTTGAAAAAGCTAAAATTATATTACCTACTTATTTAAATACCAACAGATATTTTTGATTTACTTTAAAAATATTAAAYACAGGTATTTGTAGATGATATTTTAGTGATAGRCATTAAAACACTATTTTATTATTAWTATTTAATAATGTATCAAWCATTTTTAGAAGTAGGCAACCAAACTTACACCAAACACTTATATAAAAGACTAGGCTAGTTAATGATATTTCAAAATATAGTTACTTACATTAAATTTATATCAAAAATGTAAAAAAAAAATGTTAAGTTTGTAATAATTTGTTTTTTCCCCAATTAAGTAAAAAGGTATATATATATATAGAAACCAAAATCTAAATTAATAACTAAATTAAATTAATTTTTTTTTTTTAAATATGTTACATACAATGTCCGGAATTGTACATTTCGCAATATGTACAGTGATTTTTGTACACATCCCAAATTGTACAATGTAGTTGTACAAAGTAACTAGATTGTACAAGTTTCATTATACAATTCGCGATGTGTACAATAATYAYTGYACAAATTGCGAAATGTACCTTCATTGTKCAAATCACAAGATTACTGCTAGTTTTAAAATCTTAATTATTATTAACAAATAAATAGAAATACTGGATATTTTGATATAAAGTTATATAATTTACAATATAATTAGTGGTATGTTTTAAAAGTATTTTCTTAACAAATATTGCACATTAGTATATCATATAAAAAAAAATTTTTAATACTATAATCACACTAATATAAGTTGAAATATTGCAGCAGTTCCGATTACAATGTACTAGTCCGTATTAAAATCTGTTTAAATTATATTTCTGAACGACTCAACGACAGTACCTRTCRTAAAGTCGTTTRTATAAACTTTATCATTTTTATTGCATTATACCTTTACTAATATGTTAGATTCCACATAACGTGGKAAAAACAACTCATACGACTATACGARATGAAATTATACATCTTATTATAGATTCACGTATTTTATTTCATATCACAATGTGTACTGTGTTCACTGTACAGTAATATGTAGTTTTATACTTACTATTTGTAATTATTATAATATGTTTTTAAATTTTGTGATTTGTTCGATGAATAATATACTAATACGTAAAGACCAGGTGTATCTAATTATATATGATATACTAATATGTAATATTTGTTAAGAAAATACTTTGAAAATATATCAGTTAATTATTATATTGTAATTTATGTTTTTAAATTTTGTGTTTTTACAATGAAGGTACATTTCGCAATTTGTACAATTCCGGACATTGTATGTAACAAATATATATATAGAATATACGTATAGAATTAGATTTTTAATTTATAATTACGTATAATATCAATGATCGTTTTATCATATTTAATTAGGTATTTTAATTAAAAATCTAAAATCTATATTATATTTATAACAAATGTATATTATTTAATATTTTTAACTAAAATCACAATTCTCATGCATAGGAAATCGATGAATGTGCAGTTTTTGAAAAACCAAATATTTATTGCCATTTTGCTCAAGGTATTGGTGAACCTAAGTATTCATCGGTTAGAAATTGGACTAATCTTACAAAATTACTGGACGAAGCTCTAAATTTATACAATGATTTGGTCGCAGCCATGAATTTAGTGTTATTCGAAGACGCTATGATGCACATTTGCAGGTTTGTGAGGAGAATCAAGGGTGATCAAAAGGTTTGATATGGTTGGATACTTATGAAACGGGTTTTGTGGACATTTATAGAATAAACCGAATATTGGAATCACCAAGGGGCAGCTGTTTATTGGTAGGAGTCGGAGGTAGTGGAAAACAGTGTTTAGCGCGTTTGGCGGCGTTTATTTCCAGCTTGGAGGTAGCTCAAATACAACTACGCAAAGGCTACGGGCTTTTGGATCTCAAAGTGAGGTTTTACGTTAAAAAAAAAAATCATGCTTATTAGATAAATAAGTTAAAAGTTAATTTTTTTAAATGTATAAACTGAATTCTCGCAGTCAATTACTTTTCTAACTAAATTAATAGTTTAACTAGGTAGGTATAGTTAAAGTATCTAAGTATCTATTGTCATAACTCAACTTTTAATTTAATTTAAAAATAATTGGCACGTTAAATTAGAATAAATATTTTATGTATCTTTAATAGACAGTAATAAATACAATTAATTATTTTTGGTTTAATTATGCTTTATACAATTATTTTGAATAAAAATAAACAAATACAAATTTCTTGATTAAATAATTTAGTTGAAACTTAATTGTTACTAACTTGTAATAATTGCTTAAATTACTACAGCAGTTATTAATAATAAAACGTAAAATGTAATAAAATTTATTTTTAACAAAATAATTGGTCAGGATTAAAAATGAAAATTGCACAGCAGTTATGGGTCTAACTCAAATAAAAAAAAAATAACTTTTTAAATAGGTTCAATTAATTTTTTCTCTTAATAAACTTTATGCTTTTTGAGTTGAATATATTGCGTATTAACTGTTTATCATAATTTAAGATAATTGTTTTCGTTTACTTTCCTACCTTTGAATAGACTGATATGATTGCCCATAGATGGAATTATCCAGTTTGTATTTGAAGTCGGGCTTAAAAAACGTAGGAATCGTGTTTTTGATGACGGACGCTCAAGTACCGTCGGAATCGTTTCTAGTTCTGATCAACGACATGCTTTCGACGGGTGAAATCCCAGAACTATTTCCCGACGATGAGGTTGAAAATATTATAGCCGGCGTTCGCAACGAAGTAAGATTTTACATTATCTTTTAAAATGTAGTTAAATAAAATTGGTACAAAGGTAAGATATAAATGATTAGCATTATATAGTTTTATTAAGAGGAGGGGGAGGCAATAGTTTTTACCAGCACATTTAGAACGAAAAAAAAGCTCCTTGTTACTTTCACATTTACACAGAATTGTATAACTCTAAAACTTCTCGTTAGAATTTTGATTTAGATTCATCAACTTCAAAAAAATATATATATGTATATATCT